GGGTGAAATTTTATATCATCTCTTAGGCTAGTGCTTTTTACCCTTTAATGCACACACAAATCATCTGGGGATCTTGTTAATGCAGTCTCAGTTCAGTGCATCTGGGCTGGAGCCTGAGATTCTGCATCTCTAACATGCTCCCAGGTGATGTTGATGCTGCTGGTTTTGTGGACACAGGATTCTGACACTTCTTCTCCCTGTGCACTACCTGGCACTCTGTTAGGGAACTGATCATAAAAGTGCATTCTGGATCTACCACTAAAGTACAAATCCCCAAAGATCTGAGCCCATAGGCGAACTCACCCTAATACTTTCCTGCCGGAGCTGAAATGGGGCAGTGTCAATGGGCTCTCAGGGGTTCTGAGCCCACGTCAGTGGGCAGGGATAGTGGCTGTGGCTGCTGCAAAATTAAGCTGTTCCACTGCCCCAGTGTGATGACAGGGTCAAGCAAAGAGTCCCATCCTGTACGGAAGAAAGGTCAAGGGGAGAAAGGATCTAATAGTTCATGGCTTCAGGAAGTTCAGCAAGATAAGAACTCTGTACTAAATGGAAGATAATCTATTATGGTTTGGATCTTAAATGTCCCCCAAAGACTTTGTGTGTTGAAAGTTTGATTCCTAGGATGATGTTACCGTGGGGCCCGGTGGGAGGAAGTTAAGGTCCTTAGGGCTGTGCTTTTGAAGGGTATGGTGGGACCCAAGCCCCTTCCTCTTTTTGCTCCCCAGCCACCACGAGGTGAGAGCTTTGCTCTCCCGAGCACTCCTGCCATGGTGTCTGCCTCATCACAGCCCCACAGCAATGGGGACAAATGACCATGGACTGAAACTTCTGCAACCAGGAGGCAAAATAAATCTTCCTGCTTTTCACTTGTTTATCTCAGGTATTTTGTCACAGTGACATAAGTCGACTAACAGTGTCAGAGCCAGGTTAGCAACAGAAAATAGGCAGCTGTGATAAAACTTTCACACCTTCCACCCAGGCACAAGGTCTCTCAATAAATTGCTGAACTCTCATCACAATAGCACAGATGATGGAAATGTCCATTCTTCCTGAGGCTTTTTCTGATGTCCTTGAGATGCTTGTGCGTCCTAACCCCCGTCTAATGTCCATCCAACAGCTCAGTGATCTTTTACGAATGTAAATCTGGTTCCTTCATTTCTCTGCTTAAAACCCTTGAAGGGCTTTACATTTTTCTCAGGGTAAAATGTAAACTCTAGGAGCCCTTCATACCCTGCGCTGCCCCCAACCCCTTCACAACATCTCATGGCTGTCCACCACGCTCATGAAGCCTCAGTCACTTTGGTCTCCTGTTGGCCAACCATTCCAATGTCATTCCCATCCTGGACTTCTTCTGCACAGGCTAGTTTTCTTCAAATGTCATCACTGCTGTACCTTCAAAGACTTGCCAGATTAAAGGCAAGCTTTAAGTGCAAAGCAACACATGAAACAGAACCTTTGCTTTTGTGGGTAGGATGTGGATTTATTTATCCCTTGGTTCTTTGCCTGGTTGAAGCCTGGGATGATCTTTATAACTTTAACCCTAATGTTCACGTTATAAAAAGTGGACTGAAGCCCAGAAATAGAATGCGACTTGACCAAAGCCACTCAGATTTTTTTTTTTTGGGGGGGGGGAATCAAAGTTTTCTAATGATAAATCCAGAGGTTGTGACTTGGACTCATCCAAGGAAATTGGCTCTCAATGCTGCCTGGACCAGCTCTATTTAAAATACTTACATTTTTCCAATAGTGAAACTTCTCTTTCTTTTCTTTTTCCTTTCTTTCCTTCCTTCCTCCCTCCCCCCTGTCTTTATCTCTCTCTCTCTCTCTCTCTCTCTCTCTCTCTCTCTCTCTCTCTCTCTCTCTTTCTTTCTTTGGCTTTGGGTTATTTTGCTGAGTCTAATGGGCATGGACAATCCTGGGTTTCTGTTCCCATTGTTATCTATTTTTTCTTTGTAACAAAATATCCCTTTTAAGGCCAGAAGAGGGTGATTTGTAATTTATGGGTTTCTCTTTTGAAATTACAACTAGAACCTAATTTTAAAAATCAAATTGGTTTCATCTAATTAAATTTGGAAATTGCCTCATAAACACATATTTGTTATGAAAGTCTGTAAACTCAAGGTCTCCTGATTACAGTCTGGGGAAGGATGGGCTTGAGCCCAGTGTGGATGGAACTCCCCATCTCTGTGCTCAGCGGGGACATACTCTTCTAATAGTTGCTAAGGCTTTCTAACAAGCAGTGTTTTCTAGAACAGCAGTCCTTGAACTTTAATGCCTACATGTAGCACCCATATAAATAGGAGATTGTGATTCAGGAGGTCTGGATGAGCCTGGAATGACCATATCTAATATTCTCTTGGGTGCTGCTGCTGCTACTGGGCCACGGACCACACTGGGTTGCAGCAGCAGCCACACCTGAATGAAAACGCATGAATTTGCCATTCTGGCTTCTGCCCTTCACCTCTCTGTTCCTAACTTCCTCATTTTTACATGATGATTAAGAACTAACATTTATAATGTTATGAATGTCAAGCACTGTACTAAACACATATGTCATATGAACCTTGCAACAACCCTCTAAAGAAAACTACTATTATCATGACTTTTGGGAACTTGAGGTTCAAGAACCTCAGCACTGCTCTACCATGAGTCACACAGCAGGAAGTCATCCTAATGGGGATACAGGTTTAGGATGCCTGACTTCAAATTTTAACATTCTCACCTACTTGAACCTCATTAGCTTGAAATACATGTGACCACTGTCACGTTTATGCATAAAATGTGACCAAGGGATAAATAACTCCACATCCTACCCGCCAAACTCCCAGCTCCTGTCACCGTTTCCTCCAGCCATTTTGGTGTATTCCCCAAAGGTTGCCTCACCTGCTCACAAAAGAGCCCTCCGGCTGCAATCTTCTGGCTCTGGTTCTCTATAATTATGGCCTAGGAAGCAGCCAAAAAGTTACTTAAAGATCCTTTACCATAGCTATCTCCAGCAGAGACCATCATAGAAATGTCAATATCCCTGGCATCGGGTCTGAAAATCCCAAGGTACTGAGTCCACACAGAAGGGAAAGATATGCTGTGCCAACCTGTTCTCATCTTTGAGCCTAGAGCTCCGGAGAGTGTACCACAAATGATACCTCAAGTTAGGAGCTATTGCTCAAATCAGGTGTTTAACTCTCAGTTGCATGTGCCCCCCTCTTCTCCCTTCATCTATATCTTTCTTATTATCATGGGATGGCAATCATGATATTGCTAGTACAGCCCAATGAGTAATCCTACTAGAAGAAAAATCATTTTACTCTCAAGGAAGAAGTCTGTGCAGAGAGATAACCCCACTAGCAATAGGACCCAGCTCAGTGGTTTCCAAGTGCAGGTACCTAAAGGACCCAAACCTTTTCAAGACAAAATTGTCATCATTCCAAGACAAAATGAGAGAAAGTAAGGCAATTGTCATGAGTTATTCATAAAGTAAATTTATGCAATTTGAAATTATGTCCTTTCTATATTTTTGAATGATATCTTTTCTGTTATGAAATGTTAAAAGATGGTAAAGCACTTACATTGGTTCCCCAAACCTTTGAAATCTTACCGGCCTACAAATTCCAAAAGGCTTGCATTTCTGGCATGGAGAAATTTTCACATAACATTACCATTTCTCCCTAAATCATGGTCCTTTCTCTCTGCCATACGAAGAACAGCTTGCTATGCACAATAGATTTCTATTGTGTGTGTGTCTAACTGTGGTCTCTACAAAGAATATCTTTGAAATTATTGGATTTGGGTTCATCAAATTTCCAGTCTCTCACTCACTCCCCTGATGAGGTCTGGACCACATCCTTGGCAAAGTGTATCAGTGTGACTCCCTCCCTTTCTCTTACAACAAACTCAGGAAGGAAGTTTCTCCCTACAGCCAAAAAGGCTCATAATGGTTGAATTCCCTCCCCAGAACTCACTCCCAGAAGCCCCTCTCTAGAGGTGTGGGTGTTGGCAGAACACTTAGTGGCTTAAGGTCCCATGTGGGCTTACAGTACATGGTCCTACCTGGGAATGCTTGTGCCTTTTCCCTCCCCAGGCTTGCTAGAGTCACACTGAAGTGACAGAAGTGATGAATATCATCCTCATTTTACAGGTGAGGCAACAGGCTAGGGGGCAGGAGAAGCCTGCCCAAGCCATATGAGACTAGGGGACACCTATTTGGAGACTAAGCTACCTCTTTCCAGCTGCAACATCCACGCCCTTCCATCAGCAGTGTCCTGTTTTTCTGTTTTATCCAGTGTTGCCTCAGGACTGAGAGAAGAGTCAATCTTATCCACATCCCAGTACTTGAATCTAAGCTGTGTGAGCATTTTTGTAGATCTTTTGTTTTGTCTTCCAATGGACTTCTATGTAGGTTGATTACAATTTCTCAGGAAGACATATTATGCTGTCTCGGTGGGGACTTCCTGCCTGAGTAGGTTCGGTTCCAACTCTGATATGATAAGGTCTGGCTAATGCTTGGTGGGGAGCTGTGGATATAATTGCTTGGCTAATAATCTAGTATGCCTTGAGTACAAAGAAATCCAAAGCCCAGAAATCCTGTAATCCTGGACAGAGAATGACACTGAGATCCTCTTCAAAGCCCAGGGACTGATATCTGTGGGGTGAGTACCATATGAATATCACAGTTTCTCAAACAGGCTTTAACTACCATTGGCCAGGACTGGGTCTTCTCTTCTAAATCAGGACAATCTGACTCCTTGAGTTCCCGAGTCTTCTGCAAGAGGGATTAGTTGTCACCACAGTCATCTTAAGGTATGATATATCCAGATTTCTTTGTCTTTGGGCAATCAAGTCAGCCCAATTCTGTGCTCTGGTGTTTTCTTTCCATTATATTATCAGAAAAGATGCGTCCTACTCACCTTTATATCTTCAATGGAATAGGTATTCACCCACTTCAAGCTGAAGAGAATTGAATGCAACTGAGCCCACAGAAGCAGCCCAAGGGGCCTCCTTACCTCATAGAGCGTGATGACCCCATTGGTCTCATTGGGAGGTTTCCACTGGATGTAAATCTTCTCCTCAAAGGGCCCTCCTTGGATAGATTCAAGAGGAACAGCTCCTGGAACTACAGAAGAAGAAAGTTACAAACCTGATGTCACCTTCCTCAACACTTCTCCAGCCCCATTGATTTAGAACAGGGTTGGCAAAGTTTCTATGAAGGACCAGGTAGTAATATTTTAGCATGATGCAGTCTATGTTGTAACTATTCAGCGCTGCCATCGAAGCATAAAAATGGCCATGGGCAATTCATAAACAAATGGGTGTGGTCATGTTCAATAAAACTTTATTTTCAAAAACAAGCAGTAGGCTGGGTTTGACTCATAGGCTCTAATTTGCAGCTTCTCTTTAGAAGGTTGACAGTTTCTCATCTGCAGACTGAACAAGTCCATTAGTGGACTGAGACTGATCAGAGCAGAGAGGACAACAGCAGGCCCCAGCCTTGCCAATGGATAGAAATCCCCAATTAGGTCTTTGTTTTAGGGTTGATATGTGAGGAATGTAAAGTGGGCTTTGCCATTAGTTTACTAACTCTTTTCTTTTCCCTTTTTAAAAATTTGTTCTAAGGAGTTACACATGACAGTACAATGCATTTTGACACATCATGCATAAATAGAGTATCACTTCTTATTTTTCTGATTGTACACAATGTAGAATCATACCATTATAAAATCATATATGCACATGCAGTAATGATGCTCAATTCATTCTACTATCCTTCCTACCCCCATATCCCTACCCTCCTTTCCCTCCCCTCTGCCAAATCCAAAGTACCTCTATTATTCCCTAGCCACCCACTCCCTTATTGTGAATTAGCATCCACATATCAGAGAAAATATTCAGCCTTTGGTTTTTTGGGATTGGCTTATTTCACATAGCATGATATTCTCCAGATCCATCCACTTACCGGCAAATGCCATAAGAAGAACACAAACTATCACTATGTGCTGAGGACATAATTCTATATTTAGAAGATCCAAAAAAAAAATCTCACCAGAAAACTTCTAGAACTAATAATGGAATTCAGCAAAGTAGCAGGATATAAAATCAACACCCATAAATCAAACACATTCCTATACATCAGCAATGAGTCTACTGAAAGAGAAATCAGGAAAACTACCCCATTCACAATAGCCTCAAAACAACAACAACAACAACAACAAAACCTTGGGAATCAACTTAGCGAAAGAGGTGAAAGACCTTTACAATGAAAACTAGAAAACACTAAAGAAAGAAATTAAAGAAGACCTGAGAAGTTTACCAACTCTTGTTTTCCGCACTCTCCCAAATTTTCCTCAGCTTTAGAAAGGGCTTCCTTAGTTTCCAAATTCCTTAATTCAACAAAAACTATGTGCCTTGAAACTTCAGTCCACCTAGAAGAAGCTTGCTTTGCTCCCAAGATGGCAGCTAGTATGTCTTGCTGCTGAGTCTCCAGCGCTGGCCTGGGGTGGATGCTAAATGCCCATTGGCTGGTTGGATATAGAGCTGAATGAATGACTTGTGCCAGCGTTTTGCCCTAGGAAGCACAGTCTTTCCTGGGGCTGCTCCTATTCAGGGCCAGTCTTCCTCAGCATCCTCCTGCTGGGATTCCAGCATCCTCACAATAGTTTGGAAGATGCTGAGCCAGAAACTAAAAGATTTCCCAGACTTTCAGTTCTAACCCACTGGAGAATCGTGAATTTGTGTAGATCATTACTGGATCATTTATATTTCAGCATTATAAACACAGGAGTTTTATTAAGTGCTTACTCTTTGATCAGAATTTTACATACATTATTTCACTTAAGCCACAAAATAGCTGTGCCCAGTATGGATTATCTCCTTTGTGCTGATAAGAGAGCCAGCCTCTGAGAATGCCGATACCTTGCTCAAGGTCATATGGCTCTTGAGTTGTAAAGAGGGAACAGAACACCTGTCTATGAGCTTCAAGTCATATACCCTTAATCATCATGCAACACCTCTCTAGATATAGCCTTGGCCATATGTTGCAATCAGTTCCCCATTGTTAAATTAAAATATGTTTAGTTTTCCTCATTATGGACATGATACTCACAATTTGTTGAATATTAAGAATATACTAAAAGATTTTGAAAAAGATACAAGAAAAAGTCACTCACACTACCCATTTTTAAAGATATTTTCCAGTTTTTCATGAATACAGTTTAAAACTTTGTTTTTAAAAATATAAAATATGCTTATGCATGTATTTTATTTTTTAAAATTTTAATCCCTCCTGTGTGTATTGTGTTGTGACCCTCTTTTGTCATTATACAAATCGTAATTTAAAAAAAACCTGAAGTGTTTTAGAAATTATATGGTTTAATATCTGCTTAGAAGAAAACATCTCTCTTATAGTCCTAGTCACCAATCCTTTCTTATTGGGCATTAAATTTGGTTTAAATTCTTCATGATTCTTAGTGGCACTGTAAAAAGCATTCTTATAAGGTATATGCATGCAACTTTGCTGATGTCCTGAAAATAAATTCATAGAAATTAATTTACTAGGCCAAAGTGGGCAAGCCATGTTATTTTTAAGGATTTGACACGTATTACCAGATTGCCTTCCAGAAAGTTTGAACAAATCTGGGCTCTCCAACAGAAGAATATGCCTAGTTCTGATGTCTGCCAACACTATTTAAAAAATTAAGTGCATGTGTGTATCGTTTTTAGAATACTGGAGAGCACAGACTTTTTTTTTTTTTCAATTTAATTAGCCATTTGCATCGATTCTTTTAGGAACATGCGCTCTACACCCTCTGCTCATTTGCTTATAGGCCTCTTTATTTTTGCTCATTTTTATCTTATGGGCTTATAACTATAATCTGCTTTTGAGGACACACTCTTTTGGTATAGTTTACAAATATTTTTGCCAGGTTTTCATTTGTTTTAGAAATCTTTTAGGTATGTAGAAGTTTTTTGCTTAGTCAGATCTCCTGTTGTTTCCTCTCTCCCCCGTTCCTCCCTCTAAATATTTCTGGAGTATTTAATATGACCAAGGGACTAGGAGGGACATTAGGAATGTAGTCGAATCCTTAATAAAACCTTGTGCTCTGGGAAGGGAGACACATATTTAAAAAATAACACGCAAATTAATTCGTCAAAGTTGTTAACTCTGAGGTACAGTCATAAGTTATTAGGAGAATCAAGTAGAGAAAATTTAGTCTTGCATGTCAGGATATTGAGTGGCAAATACATTAATGTTGATAGATAAGTAGAAGTTACTAGGGCAAAAGTAGAGCATGTTGGAGTGTGGTGGACAGCTTTTTGAGGTCAAGAATGGAAGGAGAAAAATCAGTTAGGAAATTGCTATTGTCATTCTGGGCGAAAGGATTGTTCCTTTGGACCAGTGAGAGGCAGTGTAGAAGAAAAATGGATTGCAGAGGAGACTGTTGTTATGCTAAACTAACATGACTGGATGGTGATGAATAAGGACAAAAAGGGAAGAGACATGTCACGGTGGGGCCCAGCACTTTGTTTTATGCAACTAGGGAATCAGACTGTTGTTTATAGAAAGGGATTCTTATCTGGGTACAGTGGAGCATGCCAGCAAACCCAGCAATTTGGGAGGCTGAGGCAGGAGGATCGCGAGTTCAAAGTCAGCCTCAGCAACTTAGCGAGACCCTGTCTCAAAATAAAATACAAAAAGAGCGGGGGATGTGGCTCAGTGGTGAAGTGGCCCTGGTTGTATGTAGAACATCCAAGAGGTGTGGCTGAATAGTGGTTGGGGCTACAAGACTGGGGCCCATGTTTGGGAACTAAAACCTTGCAGCTACAGTATAGAAAGAGTTGGGAAAAAAAAAAAGAAGACTAAATGAAGAGGAGCTCCATTCTCAACAATTAGGAAGAAAAAAATGGAGAGATGGGAGACAGTGGAGTCAGTGTGCAGAGAGGCTGCTGGGAAACCAGACGTCAAGCTGTCACTGGAACACTGGAGGTAAGAGGTTCAGGAAGGGACTGGTCAACAATGACAGATACGGCTGAGCAGTCAAGTAAGATGTGCCTTTAGGTTTTCCCGTTGATTCAAATGTTCTGTCCTCAAGGTTGTGACTTGAGCATGAGTGATTTGGAGAGAATGCTGGTATCACAAGCCATCGTGGAGAGGGTTGAGAAAGCACTGGAAGGTGAAGTGAGAATGCAGAAATAGCAGCGATTAAATATGGAGCCCACACAGTGTCCCCTCCCAAAGATGGGCAGGGTTATGACATGACCAGGGTGACCAGGAAGAATCAAAAATAGATGAGAAGTGGTGGAGAAGGGAGAGGGGCTCACTGACATGGTGAGGGTCCCGAAAGGCAGGAACAGGGAGGGGTGAGTGGAAAGAACGTCCCTTTCCCTCTGTGAGAGATGAGAAAATTTGTAGATGCTTTCGAGGGAGGAGTTGAGGTATCCTAATGGGTCTCTTATGAAGTGGTGGTAAAGTTATCTACAAATAATGAAATGAGGAACAAGTTGCATCAAGCATTTGAGAAGAATCCAGATGTTTTAATCATTGCAAAGCAGAAAGTGAGCAGAATAGGGAGCTGTAGATTCTGCCCATTCATCTGAAGATCCACCTGATGGAGTGGAGGAGAGTCTGACTGTCTGATGGAGGTAGAAGAGGTTCTGTCTTACTGACGTAGGTGGAGAAGAGTATGTCTCTGGTGGAAGTGGAGAAGAGTATGTCTCTGAGGGAGGTGGAGGAGGGTCTCTCTGATGGAGGTGGAGGAGAGTATGTCTCTGATAGAAGTGGAGGAGAATATGTCTCTGAGGGAGGTAGAGGAGAGTATGTCTCTGAGGGAGGTGGAAGAGAGCATGTCTCTGATGGAGGTGGAAGAGGGTCTCTCTGATGGAGGTGGAGGAGCATCTGTCTGGTGGATACTACAGTAAAACCCAAGCTAGTAGCACTAGGCAACCTGGTCTTTCCAGTTTAGAGAAAATTCTCTTTCTCATATCCAATAAGATAAACATAAAACCCCAATGAATAATTATTTTATGATTTATTTTGTAATTTATTCCCATCTTTTTCTCTTTGCAGCTAACACTATAATCCATCTGGAATTTATTTAGCACATTGTACCCAATAGAAAT